AAACGCCATACAGTCATGGATTTTATGCGACTATTCACCCATAAAAGTGACTTTATCTTTCCCTACGTATCGCATTGTACATCCAGCACAGGAGTGAAAACATTCAAATGAATGGGACGCACCTCCACAAAAAATACTAGCGTAGTGAGCGTGGCGGAGTAGCGAGTGAGAGTGGCCAGACAGCGTTCGAAGAGTCGGTAACTGGAGACCTGGTCACTGCCGCCGAAAACACAGACTGCAGAGGTGACGGGAGCGGGTAGGGCAGGCAGTGCAAAGCTCCGCAACTGAGTACTGGGTCGAAGGAAACGGAATTTGATCTCAACACGCAGGTCAGAACGCAGAGCACGCGCCTGGCGCCAAAATTCTGGGTCAATAGGTCTCCAGTCGAGAGTGTAGACTCGGTGCGGGAAGGACTCGCTGGTCGGCACGTCTGCACCCCAGTCTATGGAGGTGGTGTCCCGGCTACGATCACTATCCAAAGCCTCTGCAGCCTCATCCAAGTTCTCCAGACTGTCCACGTAATGCATTCTGGGCGGCGCCGCCTCATTGGGGTCATAGGTGGTGAGACGAGGAGACAAGTCTGTCTAAAAATGCAGGAGAAGCGAGGGGGCGGGTAAATTGAGTCTTCATCAGGTTGAGAGGTTGGAAAGACTACAAGAGATGCTCGAAAACCTCAAAGGAACACAACAAGCACGGCTGACAACCGAATGAGCTGCTTATATAGACGTGAATTCTGTGAGCGATTCTGTTGGAGCACACACAGGGTGTGTAGGCGGGAAAAAATACTCCTATCCTCAGTAGCGACAAATGTACAAGTGTTGGTAAAAGTCTGATCTCGCGGGCCGATTACCCCACTTGTGGTTTGGCGATAGTAGGATGCCCTCAGTGCAGTTGGTCAGCTGGTGTAGGAGTGAAGACAAAATAAAGCACAGCCCTGTCTTAAATACAGTTAGCGAAGTAGTTTAATATTATGGGCTACAGGATCCACCTCCTGCAGAAGACCTTATCACACAACAAATGGACATGGGAAGTTAATGTGACCAAGAGCTCGAGCGACGGTGGATCGATAATTGCCATTGATCCCAGTTACGTTTACTGGCACACCGTGTAGTCATATAAACAGATTATATGGACTTGGACGAAGATGACTGAGTAAAAGGTCATTGGTCACCATCAGCCATGTTGAAATTCGAGCATGCGCCGTACTGGGAATATCTGGTCCAAAACCCAAAACCTACTGGGCTCGCTCTCATGTTTACATCGCGCACACAGTCAGTGACCGAAATTCTGAAATACGTTTTTGATTAGGGCGGATTACTTTGGTGGGGTTGCAATACTGATTACCGCGCAGCGTAAGTCCGAGATATTTCAGACATGGCAGGATGGCGGCTTTCGAATACACTTCTTTTCGGCTACCTCTGGAAATCACACATGACAAAATAAATGCTTAAGTAGTATGGCTCTCTGCCGTCGATTCTCGATGCTTGCACAAATCTAGGGTAGTCTATAGAAGACATGCACAAAAGTATTATTTTTGTACTCATTTGGCAGAAAACCTCTTCTGATACTCAAATAAACGGTCTACCTTCGGCTTTGAATTTTTTTGAATTTTCAAATAACTTTAACCCGATATGTTGTTGCATTTGCGCTTAGGGTTTTTAGTCTTTCTGTGCAAGGAGAATCATACAATCCTCTATGTCGTTAAGAAGATGCAATATAAGAAACATAAAATTTAGCAGTAAATGGGGACTATGTTTTACACTTCACAAGGAGCATTAAAGATGCAACTTGGACTAACATTGCGCTGTTTCAAAGAGTTGATAATTAGAAACTTTTTTAATACAGAAAGATAGCATTTCTTCGAGTACAGGAGCCGAAGAAGTTATTTCCTACCAAATGAGTACGAGAATGAACATTTCTGAGCATGTTTTCTATGAAATATATTTGCATTCATAAGGACATTAAAAGCCAGTGTAAAAAACGCATAATATGTAAGGAGCCATTTTTTGCAAAGTGCTGATTTTGCAGGCGACCGAAAAATGCGCATTTAAAGGCTACCATTCTCGCGTGTTTGAAATATCATGGGATCATACGGCATGATAATCAATATTGAGACCCCACTTAAGTAATCCTTCCTAACTGAAAACGAATTTTGGGATTTCGGTTAACATTTCAGGAGATCGAAACAGTCTGAAAACGAAGACGTCAAAGACCCTTGAGAGAATGTCGAAGGTATACTCCACGGCAGTTCTAGCATTTCGCCTAATTTCATTGCCTGATGCCAGACGGAAGGACGGTCGTGACCCAAGCTTCAGACACGGTCTCATGTCCCCAGACCTCAGGGGAGTGAGACTGCCAGTGTCGACACAAGATTCACAGACTTCAGCAGGGACGTCGTCTTCCCTGCGTCCCTTGGCGTTATATGTGAACGTTAACCGCCTGCCTCATTTGAGTTCACGTAGCTTACATAGAAGACAACAGGGTCAATCTCTATGGCACAAAACGCCGGGAGTATTTTTAGGACCTTTTGAATAGTTTTCAACTCAAAAATAAAATAATTCTGGGAAATTTTCAAAATAAAAATGGGAGGACGCGGCAAATAACCCTGGTGTGAAGTCCGGAGTTAACCAGTCGCGTGACGCGGAAGGCGAAACAACGCACACAAGCGCGTATTAAAATTGAAAACAAACGCTACTTGCTTCTTTTAGGTAACTCTTATTGTTTAAACAAAACAGACTAGCTTAAAACAACCAGCGGGCAATAGCCGATGAAGGAACCTGAACAACGATGAGCAATGACAGGCGGGTCTGAAAGAGTAGACGAAGCAGCATTGGTCCGGTAAGTTGAGCAAGCGAAATTTCCAACTGGTGAAGATTCGGAAAGAGATAGTGTAAATCCGCCAGAGGATTCCATCCCAGGTGTTTGGGCCGGGCCGATAACCAACGCGGATCACGTAGATACCAGTAGGGATCACGCTGCTTGCCCCACACAAAGTACCGTAGCTGCTCGTCGTGCCAGGCCTGTGGCAGGGGGTGGCTCGCCTCTGGAGAGGAATGTTCCGGCGCCAGTTTGCACACATGCAGGAGGCTCAGTCGTTCGAGGGTGGGACCTGCCACCTGTGCAGAAGAAAGAGGAGTGAATCAGCAACCCACTGAACCTCGCAACCCCTCCTAAGAAAAAAACACTCAAAAGCGTGAATGCCGGCAAAGTGGCGTTTTAGCTGTGAACATTGGGCAGTTCAGGAGAATGGTCGGTTTAAAAGTGGGATGAGAAAAAAAGACACCTGCGCCTCAAAAAGCGACAATAGTAGAAACAGCGGTGATGAAAAAAGAAGCATAGTAGTGGTGGCGGCAGCAATCACGGTGAAGAAAAAGGACTTACAACCGGGATCAAATCCTACTGAAATGAAGCCAAATCACCGGAAATCTGAAAAGTCCGTGTCGGACATGTAGTAGTGCACATTTTGCATACGAACTCAACCCGACGATGATAATGGTAATAGCAGCAAAATCTAGTGCTAATATGTCAGTGTCGCACGCGAGTCAAAGAAAATCACAGAAATTAACACCTGGCCTTCAGAAGCGGCTGTAACGAATACTCGTCAACTACGAAAACTAACTGTGCTCGTGCTTTTGAATCTTTACAAGGGCTGATGTACGATGGGACCACGATTTCATATTAGCATCAGCAAAAGTTATCGCATAAATGTGTGCAGACCACAAGGAGTATATTAACCAGATCACGACACAGTTCACTCAACCACAACTACAAAGTGTGCTGCATGGTCGCATTTGGTTCAGTAAGCCAATCGCGGATGCACACGGGTCGGCTACTCAATCAACAGATCTCCCAATGGAAGCACTGACGCGCATTCAGGAGTTCATCCGCGAAGTTCCCGCATGCATGGGGTACACATTGTGAGGCGCGCCGTTTTTTTGGGTCTGCATCTCAACCAGTTCGCACAGAACACAGCCTCCTCCTCCTCCTATGGGCATTTTACACAGTCGATTTGAAAAGAGAGCTTCGCTCTGATTGCGATAGCTAAGTACGTACGCTAACTTGGCGCGACTGATGAAACGTAGTAACCAAAAGCTAGATGGTCAATGGGGCATAACCTGAAGGCGTCTCTTCGCATCTATTGACAACTTATTCGGGCATGATGCGCTCCGATCGGCCCGGCGATGTGAAATCTTCGTCGGTCGAGAGGCCTCCACGTATGCGCAGATCTGATTTCTGCACAGGTGTCTCGACAATAATGTGTTACGGAAATGCGTTTCACACAAGCCCCTGGTGAACACGGATGTGGCGAAACGAGCAGTGTTTCAGCATGACAGAAGAATGATCCGAGTGCTCCTCCAAAATTGCCACGCAAGACTTCGCCAAAGCCGTCAGAGGACTGACCAAGAGAAGACCAGATGCTGTGAGCTCATGGGCGAGACCGGTACAAATCTGCTCCTGCAGGGGAGGCTGGACGAGTCCGCGAACAGAGAGCGATACGTGACACAGCACTGGAGAACAAATTCCAAAAGCTGCCTAGTCCAACATCGCCCAAAAAAGACGATCTGGCGCACAACCTGTCGTCAAAGGAGCTGAAGGATCAGATGCAAATGTTACGGCACGAAGCATCATTCAACACGGCAGCAGTGGAATCAATTCTTAGTCAGACGGAACCGACGGAGGAGGCGGAGAACCTTATCCGACACCAAGTGTCCTCCCTCCTTATGACTAACAAGCCGCGCGAAATACTCCCAAAGGTCGAACGTGATGCACTTAAGGAACTCAGGACCGGCAAGGACTTGGTCATCGTGCCAGCGGATAAGCGGTGGTCCACGGTTGTATTGGACAGGAAGGACTACCTTCAGAACGCCAAAGATTTACTGGAGAACCGAAAATTCTATGTCCCATGAGCAACCAACCCTGTAAAGAAGCGGACACGCGAAATTAATGCTACGTTGTCGGCCCTGGAGGACTCAGATGCAATAACACCAACCGACAGACGCATGGCAAGACCTCAATATACGGCTTTGGCCCGATTCTATGGCCTCCCTGAGGTGCAGAAGGAGGGCGCTCCTCTCCGACCCATCATGTCGCTCAAAGGTACTTCAACGTACGGACTGGCAAAGTGGCTGCGCCGGTGTCTGACTGCTGAGTCAGACACTACGGTCTCTTTGTCAGCACAATTCCTGGAGAAAATTAACGCGGTAAGCCTCCTTCCAGATGAGGTCATGGTATCTTTTGATGTAACCTCCCTTTTTACTTCTACTCGCCAGGATCTGGCGATCGAGACAATCGAGCTACTTCTACAAAGCAAATATAATAGAGCGGGGAATGGTCTCCGATACGTCCAAGTCCTTCAGCTCCTGAAGTTCTGTCTCAGGACGTACTTAACGTTCGACGGGACAATCAATGAGCAGGTGAAGAGCACATTAATGGGTTCGCCGATTACGGGATTCATCGCCGAGGCGGCCCTGCAACGGTTAGAGTCGCTGGTCTTCCAACACCACAGGCCGAGGTTCTGGACCCGGTATGTGGATGATACCTTCGTCGTTATCGACCGGGATCAACTGTTGACATTCAAAGAACGTCTCAACGCGGTCGTCCCGAACATACGATTCACGATCGAGGAGAAAGAGAACAACCAGCTGGCCCTCCTGGATGCCCTTGTATGCCTCTAAGATTGCGGTGGTCTAAAGACCAAAGTGTTAAGGATAGCGACAAATACGACGCAAGTATTGAAATCCAACAGCAACCACACAATCAGCCACAAACGCAGTTGTGTAAGGATGTTTTATCGGCGTGTTGAAACGAACTGCAGTGAGCCGGAAGAAAGATTGACGAACTACAATACCTTCGACGGGTGTTCAAAGCCAAAGGCTACCCGCGCAACTTCGTCAACCGATGCATACGCAAAAGGGACGAAGGGCCAAGCCGCATGGACCCCAAATTTTGGTGAGCGCTTCCGTCAGTCAAGAACGTTTCGGACGCTATCGGCGCCTTCTCGTACCACTTGGGGTTGGAGTGGCACACAGACCGGAGGCAACCAACAGGCACCAAGTAATGAAAAAGAAAGACCCGCTGCCACGGCAAGAAACGTCTGGAGTTGTTTATCGGATCTGATGCAGTTGCGGACAAAGCAACTGTGTTAGAGAAACCAGAAGACTGCTCCGAACGCGAATGGCTGAATACGCTGCAGCGGTGCGGAGAAATGACGCCAGCTCTCAGGTTGCAGCTCATTCGACGAGGCCGAAATTCTCGCTAAAGGTGATAACCGCGTGAGCCGCGAGCTGCTTAAGTCATGGTTCACTGGCCCCCAGTCTATTAAAAGGTGTAATGACCCTCTTCTTCCATGCCCGGTGCTGAAACCGCCTAGGCGGAGTAATTAGCCACGAGGAGTGTGCACAGTCGAACACGGTTCCAAACGCCAGGGTCGGTGGGTCAGCTGGTCGAGCAATCATCACACCAACATCCAACACCCGTGATGAAGTTGCAGCGACTAACGAGGCAAATGTCGGCCATCGAACAGTCATCACGCCAAGTGCAACCATCCCCGATGAAGGGGGGGGGGGAAGAGAGCCGTGAATTTCCATAGGTATGCGGTAGCGTGACAAGTGAATCATATAAAGACAGCAGCCCCTTGTGCATGAATTCCCTCTTTCCTCCCTTACAAGCATCAGTGGCTCGTGGGTCAGCCGACAGCTGCTGACATCAGGCGCGCCGGCTGACGAGATATTTTTGGCGGAAATTTAGCCTATGCACTAACAAAGTGGAATTTTCCGAACATAAGTATTCATGCTCCGCCTTTCTACTTATTTTTTCGCATTTAACATTGCTTTGCCCTATTATAAAAATAAGTATAAATAGAGGAATGTTTGATATTTACCACTTTCCACAACATCATTTATTTGGGAGTTTACTATCTTGCAGGGTTTCCCTTATAACTAAGGTATATTTTTTGATCGAGGTCTTTTCTTGAGACACTGGGTGGAAGGGAGGCGGGGGGAGGAGCTTACTAAATTGTCTGCGAACTTTCGGACCAAAGATGAGTTTCTGCCGTCTACCGTATGTGGTTCCTGCTAGCATGGCGTGTTTGAAAAGAAATAGAGGGAAACCCCACCTTGAGAGACGTGAGAAAGGAGTCAGCCATGGCAGTGAGGATCAACCACTATCTTGCAGAACTCAGTGCAAAACACAACTGTTTCAAGATAAAAATACAATTGCAAACGCCTGAAGTATAACACGGCGCAACAAATCTCGGGGTTTAAGGTCAAATCCGCAGGTTGTTCCTCTTGAGTCACAAACCGTGGGTCGATCTGGATAACGAGAGTAAGCAGGTGGTAGATGAGGCCATTTTCTGCGCGCGCGCTCTCTCTTTCCTCGTTTCTAAACGGACGTCCTGCGACCGCCTGAGTGGGCCTTAGCTCTGAGCATAGGACAACCGGCGTGTTTCTCTGTACTGCACGCGGAAATGACTTTTGACAAAAGCTGACATTTATATTAATAGCCCCAATTGCAACTTTCGGGGTGCGAGCTGGGAGTTAGATGGACTTAGGGTTAACCTCGAGGTGACTGGCTTCATGTCAAATCTGAGGTCTCCAAACCGTGCCCAAGAGTTCGACGAATAGTTGCGAAACCAGATGAAGTGATTGATAAATAATGGCTGACAGGTCGTAGGGTCTGTTTCCTCGACCCAGATACAGATGTAGCCAGAATGAGGAGGAAATAGGGAATCATTGCGAACGACCGGGCAGTCAAAAGAGCCAAAATAGTCGTGAGTGAATTAGAACCAGAGCAGGCGTACGTGAGTGGCCGTTCAACAGTCAAAATTCCCACTTGTTTACAGCCACCACCTGTCCGTGAAGGGGCGGTCGGGCAGTAAACAGAGCCGGCAGAAGTGACAACTGACAATGACAAAGCCTCGCATAATGCAAAAACCGGTGCTGACAAACAGATAACCACCCCAGCAGCAAAATAAGGCGCACGAAAGGCGGACAATCAGGACCTCCCTTTTTTGGCCTTTTCGTCACCGGTCGGGCCGGACTTCCAAGCGTCCGACAGAATCGTTTTTTTGCAAGAGACCGAGGGCGCCCGCTCTCGGTCTCTCTGACTTTAGCAACATCAAATGCAACCGGGAAAAAAAGTAGGAAAAAAACAACGCAGGGAAAGAAGTGGGGAGTGAGGCCGGCAGAAACATGAAGCACGACAAACATTCTTACCAAAGGGAAGTGCGCTTAGCTCTAGAAAACGCAAAAGAGGAAGAAAAGGGACAACCATTAGCGACAAATATAAAGATCACGCAGCTTCAGTAAACATGATAATCGCCAAATTTACTTCCTCCTTTCTTCTCTCACCTCCCTCTCCCCCCCCCCCCTGAAAGGACTGATCATATGAATGGTATTTATACTTTGGTTGCTAAAGAGGAAAGCGAACTGACCAGCAGCATGGGCTCGCAAGCACTTACCCTCGACGCGAAAGTTGACAGGCAAAGGATCAAGTTGAGGAAACGTTTCACAAAAGGCAGACAACAGAATACCAGGGCCAGCAAAGAGGGCTGAAAATGCGGTTCGAAGTCAATTTCATCAGACGCCGGCCTGCAGTCATTAAGTCCTCACCGATGGTGTCTACTGCCATACCTACCGATAACTGGGGCGAAAAACTCACATTTTCATAAGTTCGCTAGGATTTATTGAACGAAATTGGGTCAGATGTGGTTATGTAGCCTCACCTGAAGTAAACAAACTCCAGCCACTTGTAATACGAGATCGGTGGTAAGAGGAGTTTTTACAGGTGGGGCCTGGGAAACGCACAGGCGACGAGGTCAAGTAGTTGTATGCAAAAGAAAAGCTATCCGGAATGCGCGGTTGCACACTGAGTGGTTGGGAAATAGTTACCCTAACCCCTAACCCAAACCCCAATAGTACTGTGTTCATCAGGTGGGGCCACGTAACCACATCTTACCTCGAATTGTAATAAGCTGGGTGTCACCACCTCCAAAAGAGACACAGCCCAAACCCACATGGTGGACGCTGAGGGACCCCCTGATATGTCGAACTCGGAGCTGTAGCGACGCGGTACCAGTACGTCCATGGGCTAACACTGGCGGTGGTTTAGCTGTTCCAGGGTCCATGGTCCAACAAACCAGTGAGGTCCATGTCCTATGCGATCGACGGTTGACCCCTCCGAATGGCATTACATACCGGAACGGCGGGGACCATGGGACATAATATGCTATCGAAGTCCAACTGAACCATACTTATCCACTCCCTCAGTTAGCAAACACAGATGCAGAGCCAACTCGAACAGGGACATGGGGAGACGACGTCGTGGGCGAGATCCCCTTCACACCAGTGGAGGGCGTGTGCGAACAATCTGAGCCTGCGGCTTTCAACGGCATCGTTAGCAGGAGGCACCAGTTCTCCAACACCTCCATCATCTGCAGCTCAGTAACGCACAGTGGGAAAGTTTCACAGCAGTAGTGCAGGACGCTTTCGAGTACTGCTTAGTACACTCGAATCCCTGCCTCCTGATGAATTTTGCAGCGAGAGCACAAGCATTTCTAAAGTCGAGGGGACAAATTCTGTGCGAGCTGTATGTGGCGAGTTATCAACGTTGGCCAATTGGTACCACAGGGGAATCGAAAAATAACAAAATAGTCGACAGCATCGAGAATTCTACCTTCCATAAAAGGGGTAGGGTTATTTTATGTGTTGAAGACGTTATGCATTACCCTAGTTATTCCGGTCTTAGGATCAAACCTAAATGTGTGGAAGACGATAACTGCGCGACCAAGAGCGAAGTGATATTTTCAGAGGTTGCAAACAGAGTCACGCCGTCGACATAGTCAGGCTCGGAGATCATGTCCTGCCTGGGCGCTTCTTCGTGGAATGATGTTAAGAGAACCGAACCCGTTGCAACAAGTGACAAGGAAATAATCGACGAAACCAGTGTTTTAACACCTGTATTGACAGTACGGTGAGATTTTTTTCCCGATGCCGGCAGCTCGACAGTCGATTCCGACTATGTCCACCGTGCGTTATTCATCTAGGTGCAGCAGCCACGGTGACTTGCGCAGCATCCACCGCACTCTCTCTACTCCACTCCCCACCTGGACCCGGTGTCAAGGCAGAGTCAAGAAGACCGGAGGCGGGGAAGGTCGCAGATGGCTGGCGCAGCCGGACTCGCACCTAGGCGTGCCACCACACCCCTTCGTCCACACAGCAAATGACCAGGATTTTTCACCAGCAACAGCAGCCACAACACCCCAACAGGGATCAGAAGGACGAGGATGATGACTGGGCTGCCATGCCCACCGCCTATATACCCAGCGGGAGCGCAAGCGCATCTACTGGCAAGGAAGTAGGTGTCAGGGAACAGCCAACGCACACCAAACTGCGAGGGCCATGATTTGCTAATACTGGCATAGCAAATGCTTTCAGATTTTTTGATCTCCTGATGCCACCACCATCATCATTAACATCGTTTAAGGTAACTCGAATGCAACACAGCCTGATGTTTGACGGTAGAGCAAACAATGGAATTAGTTAGGAGGTGGGCTTCCACAGCGACAGAGTGAAAAAGGGCAAATCTTGACAAATTCCGAAACGAACGGGCTGATGTGATTGCAATTTAGCAGAGTGATGTGAAATCGCAGAACCTGGCACAATTCGGGCTATCACCT